CGCCAGGGTTCGGTCTGGGCCCGTTGGCCGCCCGCGACGAAGCGTCTCGCGGTGCGCCCTCGTCCAAGAGCAGGCCGCCCGGCTACAAAAGGCCTGCGGCGCTGTCGCCGCGTGCGTCGCGCTCCCCATCGCCTCTGGGTGGGCGCGTGCCGCGCAGTCCACCTCGTCGCCGCCTCTCTGCAGAAGTTCAGCCCCGGTCGCCTTCTCGTAAGGTTGAATGCGACAAGGCCAGCGCTGCTCACCGCTCGGGCTGCAAACCGGCGCCGCCTCGCCCGTCGACCTCGCGCCCATTCTGGACGAGGGCAGAAGCGGCGGCGTTCGTTGGCTCCCGCGGGCGCGCTGCTGCGATAGCTTTAAAGGACAAGGGCAGGAGCGCGGACGCGAGCAAGAGCAATCCCATGCCATAAGACGCCGCCGACCTTCCCAAGAAGGGGGAGAAGACGCGCGTGGCTGGGGTGAAAGTCAAGCGCCAGCGCGCCGGCGCGGCCCTCCGCGCGGTTGGCGCCGGCGATTCACAGCGGCCGCCGTCGTCAACGGGCAGTGCCGAGCCTGGCGCGCCCAGCGAAGAGGTCGCCCACGGTGGTCGTAATCGGAGCGGTCCCCGCGGGTCGTGACCGCGGTGGGCCTTGAGGCGATCGTGCGAAAAAGGTGCGCGCTTCTTTCGAGGTCTATGTCCATCCATCACCTTCTCTCCCACCTACCAGGTCAAGGCACCATAATTCCACCTCGCCCGTAACGTGACCCTGGGGCCATCACTTTGCTTGAGTCTTATGACAGGCTTTCAGATATCGCGTCTGTGGCCCGAGCTCACCAACATCACGCACAAGCGGCACGAGAAAACTCGCACCATCGCTCACGCGCGTGAGCTCCTCCAGTGCCGCTCTTAAGAGCACGAACGAGCTACCCGCTACAGAGGATGAGCCCGCGTTCCGCCGCGTCTTGCGCCCGTCAGGTCAGACAGCGATGGTGTCTCCCTGCCGAGTCTAGAATGTGCTGGTGGTTGGACAATTCTGGTTCCCCTGTTCCTTTGGTATCCCTTCTTCGCCAGAGCTGTTCGATCGCCCGCGCAATCCCGAGTCACTTACGAGGGGTCGCCGCTGTGCGGCCCAATGCGTCGACGCATGTCTGCATTTTGCACGGAGAATTCGACCGTGAATTTCACGGCTTCTTGCCGAATTGCTTTCTCTCGTGTAGCTTCCAAGCCCCGCAATTCTATTCCCCCCTCCTCCTCCTCCTCCTCCTCCGCCTCCTCCTCCTCCTCCTCCTCCTCCTCATTGTCCTCTTCCTCCTCCATCTCCTCCTCGTCCTCCTCCTCCTCCCCTTCCTCATCCTGCTCCGCCTCCTCCTCTTCCCCGCCTCCCGCTCCTCCTCTTCCTCCTCCTCCTCCTCTTCCTCCCCCTCCTCCTGAGCTGCCGTAGTTGTCAGGTTTCGAGGCTCCCACGCCAGGGTGCATAGTCCCATATACTTGGCGAGAGGGCCATTCAGCAGGCGGTTTTCAGATTTCTGCCGTCTTGAACCACCCCGCGCCGGTTCCGCGGGCTGATTGCCGGGTTGCGCGTGTGTGTGTGTGTGTGTGTGTGTGTGTGTGTGTGTGTGAGTGTGTGAGAGTGTGTGTGTGTGTGTTGTTGTCCGAGCGCAGTCCCACTGCATAGCCGCCGACGAAATGTGTGTGTGTATATATGTGTCTGTGTGGTTGCCCCTGCTGGGGGGATAGGCTCAAGGGGGATGCGCGCATCGACCCCAATCGCCCATTCATCGCCCATAACGGCGCGATATTCCGCCCCGCTCAAGAACGCGCGTTTTCGCTATGGCGTTTCGCTATGGCTATCGGCGACGTATTCCCGATTCCAGGTCGAAGTGCCCCCCCCTTGAGCAGGTTCCCCCCCCCGTCGTTTCCATCAGCTGCAGGGTGGGACGCTTCCAGAGCAGTCCTGAGCGCTCTGGAACGGCTGCGGCGCCCGATACATCCTCTGGAGCTGCCTGATCTCAGAGATCCCCGATTTGTCTTGGTCCGATTTTGTCACGATTTCGTTTTCGTCTTACGTAGGAGGGGCCAAGGACGTGCGGATATACAATCGGGGGGTTATCGCTGACCAATCGGCGATTTTTTTCATTTCATGTCAATCCGCCCCCCCTCGAGGCGTTCCTCCCTTTCTCGTTCCCCATCCGTTGAGGGGATGGGTCGGGCGGATTTGGGATCGGGATCAATCGCTCCAGAGCGTTTCAGAATGCTCTCAGGGTCATTTCCTTCCGCAGCGCTCTGGAACAGCCGCGGTGCTGGATAAATCCGCCATAACAGCCAGAATTCAGAGATCCCCGATCTGTCCCTGCCCCATTTTTTCCGGGTCTTGGCTTCGTCCTAGGCTTAGGTGAAGGGCCCCCGTCAGATGCGGTGACCACAGCGTGTGGTGAGACAGTGGGGATTCGGGGTCACCGAACGGTTTCGGGTCGTCTCCGAGGACGTTCGGTCGATCGGGGCCTCCAGGGTCCCAAAACCGTGTGGTGGCGGCCCGTGCGGTGATGTCCACTGGACTTCAGGCTCACCACACGGTGCGTTACCACACCGCCTTGGGGCCTCCAATTCGGGGGCAGGTAGGCCGGCACCCCCTGTCGGTCAATAGACCGGCGCCTGGCGCGGGGCTGGGGTGGTAGGCCCCGCGGTGCCTCAGTACATTATTTTGCCCTCGCGGAGGCCTTTTCCAGACGGCCCCGTGCACCTGCGCCAGCAGCGAGAGCCAGCCATCCACAGGGGGGCGTGGCCGGCGGACTCGCCCACGCTCGCGGCCAGCCGCTACCGCGCCACGGCGCGGGCGGCGAATGCGTAGGCGTCCGGGGAGGGGGCCGCTCCCTCGGGGACCGAGGACGGCGTCGGCGGAGGAGGAGGACCAGGGGCGGGCAGTCTTGTTTGAACACACACCAGGTTTCTGTTCTGAGGACGTTTGAAATCTTACGAGAATGTTTCGACGTAGGTCGACAGGGATGCCAGGACGGTCGGTCCCTGCTCCATCGAGGTTTGCGGACGTTTTCGTGGGTTCTTGGTGGTTTTCCACTCGGGATGTCTTCTAGCGGCTGCGCCTCGCCGAGAGCGTTCGGAGGATGCCCGGCTCGTCCCGAACGGCTGCCGGAAAGCCGAGCTATTATCCGAAACTTGCCCATTCCCAGGGGGCTGCAGGGGGCCCCCCAGGGAGACACTGTTCGCGCCGTTGCGACGCGGCGGCGACCCCGCCGCGGGCGTTCAAGATTGAGCCATGCGCGCGGTGTTGGCGATGCGTCGGCGATGCACCGGCGAAGGATCGGCGGCGCTGGCGCGGCAGCAATAGCATTAATACGAACATGAGGTGGAAGAGCACGATTCAGGAGGGGAACAAAAACACAGACACAATTAATCGTCCACTCCCAGGAAAACATTGGAAAAATATGGGAGGTGGGGGGGAAGACAAAAGCCCAGAAAGTATGGGAAACTATGGGGGATCCTTTTATCTGTGTGTATTTCTTTGTGTGTCCCAGGGCCCCTTCAACGAGGAGGTGGATGACGAGGAGGACGAGGCTCGAACCTCCCCCCTCCCTCTCCGTTTCGGAGCCCGCGGGGGCCTCCGAGTACCCTGTGGGGCGCCTCTTCTGCCTCGCCTCGCCGTCTCTCTCCTCCCCTTTTTTTCCCCCTCCCCTTCGCCTCGTCCTCCGCCTCCTGCTCCTCCTGCTCCTCCTCGCCCTCCTCCTCGCCCTCCTCCGCCTCCTCCTCCTCCTCGCCCTCCCCCTCCCCCTCGCCCTGCTCCTCCTCCTCCTCCTCCTCCTCCTCCTCCTCCTCCTCCTCCTCCTCCTCCTCCTCCTCCTCCTCCCCCTCCCCCTCCTCCCCTTCGCCTCGTCCTCCTCCTGTTCCTCCTCCTCCGCCTCCTCCTCCTGCTCCTCCTCCTCCTCCCCCTCCTCATCCGCGGTTGCCCAGTGCGAGTGCAACTCTCCTTTATCCCTTGAAGATGGCCGGGGCAAGGCCCGCCCCCATCAGCGCGACTTTCTGAGCACGCGGGGTTTGGGCATCGGATTTCATGCTTTCGCAATCGGAGCTTATTAGGTGTTTCCCAAAGGCGCTGCAGCTGCAGCGTGGGCCTTGTTTAAGAGATGGCGCTGCGCCAGCGCGGAACCACTTTTGGGATCCGAGTCCTTCCTCATCGTTGTCGCCCCCTGATTTCCCCTCTTTCGCCTTCCCCTGGTCCTCCTGCTCCTCCTGGCCCGTCCAGTCCAGCTCCTGCTGCTGCTGCTGTTCGTCCTCGTCCTTTTTCTCCCTCTTCCACCTCCTCGTCCTCTTCCTCCACTGCTCGTTTTTTTGTACATAAAAGATTGTGCGTGACGCGGTGTGGTTTGTTTTAGAGAATTCCAGGTCCGCAGTGATCTGCGCCATGATAGGATGGGTCGGGGGCATATGATATCAGGTATGACGCGCGCGCGCCTAGCTTGTCCTTCACCCTCGCCTCCTCTCCCTCCTCCACCTCCTCCCCCCCCCCCCCTGTTCACTCCCCCCCCCTCCCTGCCGCGCTTCCCTCCCCTGCCCTCCCTCCATCTCCCCCTCCCTCCCCCGCATCCCCCCCCCCCCGTCCCTTCCGCCCCTTCCTCCCCCCTCCCTCCCTCTCCCTTCCTCCTCCTCCATCCCCCCCCTCGTCCCTTCCGCCCCCTCCTCCCCGCTCCCTGTCTCTCCGTCCGTCCCTCCGTCCCTCCTCCTTCCCTCTTCCCTTTTTCCCCCCTCGCCTTCGTCTCTCCCTCTCTCCCCCCTCCCTCTGCCCCCCCCGTCGAAAAACCCAGCTCTACAACGTGGGTTCAGCAATCGACAGGCGCCAGCATCGCCATCGCCATCGTCACGGTCATCGCCACCGTCCTCGTCACCGCCATCGTCATCGTCACCGCCATCGTCACCGCCACGGTCATCGTCGCCGTCCTCTTCACCGTCATCGTCCTCGTCACCGCCATCGTCATCGTCACCACCCCGTCCTTCCCCGCCCGTCGCGGCTTGGAGCCTGCGCCGGCCCGCCCGCCGCGCGCCGCCGGGGAGGCCGCGCGCGCTCGCGCTCGTGCATGCCGCACGCCCGCCCGCCGGGTCGCGGCGCCGGCGGGGGCCTGGCAGCGGCCTGCGGGATCGGCGGGTTCGCCCCGCCTCCGCCTTCTCCTCCTCCTCCTCCTCCTTTTCCTCCTCCCCATCCTCCTCCTCCTCCTCCTCCTCCTCCTCCTCCTCCTCCCCTCCTCCTCCACAATTACTCAATATGAATACTACTCTCCCTCTTCCCCTGATGACGGTTTGAAAGTATTAGCACCCCCCCGCGTACAGTTTTTTTACACACAGGATTCCCCGGAGTTGGGTTTTCCGCTTGCATTTTTTCCAACATGCTGCTCTCGCTGAGGCGCCGGCCTCATTTTCGGGCCCCGCTCGTTCCGAATCGTGCTTCCGTTGCAGCGCTGTCCTCATTTCCGTGCTTCCGCTCGTTCCGAATCGTGCTCCCGCTGCAGCGCTGGCCTCATTTCCGCGCTTCCGCTCGTTCCGACTCGTGCTCCCGCTGCAGCGCTGGCGTCATTCCCCGTGCCATGCCACGGCATGCAATGCAATGCTAGGTTGATACTACGCTTTGCGGTGCTCTTCTACGCCATGCCATGCCGCGCTCTACAATGCATCGCGTACCCTTTCGGGATCATTGCCCTGCTCGACATCCGACTGTGCGAGTAGAGAGGGGATCTGCGCCATGGTAAGGGATGGGAGGGAGGGGTAGGATGTCAGATATGACGCGAGCGCACCTAGCTTGTCCCCCTCCCCCTCCCCCTCCCCCTCCCCCTCCCCCCTCCCCCTCCCCCGCGATTCCGCCGCCGCGCTCGTGCGGGCGCGGGCGGGGGGCGGGGGGGGGGGGCAGGGGGGGGCGGGCCGGGGGGAGGAGGGGTCCAGGGGCACCCCTTTCCCTCAGTCTGTGCACGCGGGGCCACTGTTCCCCCCTGGGAGGCCAGGGAGGCGCCAGGGAGCGGGGTGCAGAGGTGAGCGCGTCTCGGGCTCGGTGCGTCGGGGGGGGGCTTGCTTGGCTCCTCGCGGCAGGCGGAGAGACCCGTCGCACACCAGCCGCTGCAAGCGCGGTGGCGGACCGTCGAGCTGATCTCAGCCCTACCATTAGGATGTTCCAACCTACCTTAGCCCTGATCACAAGAAGTAATTTCGAGCGGCCACACAAATACCGAAACTCAAAGGGTTTCACGTGTCGGGCCCTGGGAGACACTCGCCCGACACTGTTTCGACATTCTTTCGACACTCTTTTGACACTCTTTCGACCTTTTTCCAGGTGCTCGAACTTATTTCTGGGATGTGGTCCTTAAGTAGGATGGGAGCAACATAACCCTACCATCCCGCCCCCCCATTTGGGGATACGTCCGCAGAGACCCGAACATGAACAGCCCATATGCTCATTCTGGGGGGTAAATCCACCAGCGTTGCCAAGGCCGCGCCAGTGCGGATACGGATTGGCTACATGATACTCACCATATTTATCGTTTGTTTGTTTGTTGTTTTTTTTCTTCTCTGTCTCTGTCTCTGTCTCTTTGTGGTTGTCTGTCTGTCTGTGAGTATGTTTTTCAATGTCTCGCTTTCTCGCTCTCTTTCTCTGTCATTTCCCCCATCTCATAAATGGGCTTCTATTTTTTTGTGGACTTGTCCCGCGCAGTACATTCCTCACCCCCTATCCTCTCCTTCGCTCTTCACTCACGCACTCACGCACGCACGCACTCACTCACTCACTCATCATTATTATCATAATCACCATCATCATCATAACTGACATTACCAGTAGCGTTAATCGTATCAGTACCATTATTATCGTCATCATCACAATCATCATCATCATCATCATCATCATCATCATCATCATCATCATCATCATCATCATCATCATCATCATCATCATCATCATCATCATCATCATCATACCTGTCATTACCAGTAGCGTTAATAGTATCAGTATCATTAGCATCGTCATCATCACAATATCATCATCACCATCATCATCATCAGCATCATCATCATCTCCATCACCGTCATCATCATCATCATTCACCCATTCACTCACCCATCCACCCACCCGTTCACCATCGTCGTTATCATCGTTATCACCACCATCATCAACATCAGGCCCCCAAGGTTTTTCTCTTGAGGAAGTGTCAGGGGGGGGCGTTGTTTGTGCGTGAATTGTGAGGACGTCTCAGGCGGGATCCCATCCCCGAGGGGGTCCCGTACCTCACGTTTTGAATCCCAGAAGGTTATTCGAAACCTTTCACTGTCGTCAGCCTCGGGCTCCTGAGGGGCGAGTCTTCAAGGAATCTCTGGCGGAGGCTTTGGTCGTGTGTGAATTGCAAGGAAGTCTCAAGCGAGAGCCCCCCCACCCATATGGGGCCCGCACATCATGTTTGTCTCATTTTGCGGGGTCGTTCGAAACTTGTGCCTGTTCGTCGATTTTTAGTTCCTGAGGCTTTTTTATTCCTCAGGGGAACTCAGGCTGGGGCTTTGTCTGTGAGTCAATTGCGAGGCATTCTGAGGCGGGAAACCCCTCCCTACCTGGCCCGCACCTGATGTTTACCTCGAGGAGGGGGGCATTCGAAACATGTCGCCGTCGTCACATTTGTCGGAAGCTGGAACATATACATTACCAGTGGCGGGCTGTTTTTTCAATCCCAGGACTTTTTGAGGGTCGGGGACGACGTCGGGGTGGTGTGGCATATATTTTTTCCCATTTCCCGGGGGGAAGCGAAAAATGGATACACCAGGATCCGTATACACCAGGATCCGCTTTCTTGTGAGGGTTTCAGCGCAGGGCCGGAAAAAGCGTTGGTGTATAGAGTTCGGTTCCCTAATTTGGGACTCCGAGGCTTGAATCTTCAGGAAATCTCCGGCGGGGGCTCTGTTTGTGAGTGACTTGCGAGGAGTACTCAGGCGGGAACCTCCCCCTCGGAGGTCCGCACTTCATGTTTCCAATCCACATTCGTAATCTATAATTGTAGTCACTCTTGAGCTTCTAGGGTTAAGTCGGGCCTGTCCCTCTACACGGGGAAAATTTAAAATAGTCACAAATAGTATGTGGACTTTTTTTTTTCCCAACCATCCTGTGGTGTTGGGTCCTCGTTTTGAAGAGACGGTGCCCCGCGTCTCCTCTCCTCTCCTTCCTTCCTCCTCCTCCGCCTCCTCCCTCCTCCCTCCTCCCACCAGCCGCCGTCCCGGCCCGAGGATTTTGGGTGCAGGTATCCAGGATACCTGCGAGCCTCGCGGGACTCGGCGGCCATACGCGCTCGCCCGCGCCCTCGCTGGTGGCGTGCGGGCCGGCCGTGCTGCTGTGCTGCGGTGTGCGCCGCCCCAGAGTGGGCGGGCGCACGACGGCGCGGGCGCCCGCTTCGAGCAGGGCGCGGCGCCGGCTGCGCGTGCGCGAGCCCGCCTGGCACAGGCGCGCTCGCGAGCGGCGCACGCAGTCGCGCACCTTGCTGCGCGTCGCCGCTGCCGCTGCGAGGTTGCGTGCGCACCATAGCAACGGGCTGATGTCAGGCCGAGCCGGAGGCGGGGGCAAAGCCGGCCAGGGCCGCAAGGGCAGCGGCAAGGGCAGTTCTGGCGGCGGCCACAGCGGGCAGAGTGGCAGCACTCCGCCGTGGGCCGTGCCGCCGCCGCCGCCTGGATGGTGGTGCCTGTCGTGCGGAGGACTCAACGGCCCTTCTGACGCCCTGTGCCGCACCTGCTTCCCTCTTCCCGAGCATGGTCCCATGCATGGAGACGGAGGAGGGACAGCGCGCCCGCGCGCGGGCCCGCGCGGTGACGGCCGCCAGCCTCGTTCTGCCTCGAGGCGTCGGCGCCGCGGCGGCAAGGGCGAGGCACGTCAGCCCGAGGCCGAGCCGAGGCCGCGGTCAGCCTCGCGAGTCCGCTTCGAGGACGAGGGTACGGAGGACGACGGAGGCGATTCGCGGCCGAGGTCGACCTCGAGCCGCCGCCAGCGCTCCGCCGACGGCGATGGCCGACGGAGGCGGTCTGCTGGAGGCGAATCTGATGTATCGGATGGCGATGAGGACGGCCGCAGCCCCGCGCTCGGCATCCTCCCCGCGCTGCCGTCGGACGCGCGGGCACACCCAGCCTGGGTCGAGCCGCCGTCGGATGAGCGCGGGCTCACGGCCCACAGGCGCTCGCTGCACCAGATGGCGGCCGCCACGGGCAAGAGGCTGCAGGCTGCCATCGAGCTCGGCATGAGTCTGGAGCAGAGGCGGCCACAGGAGGAGGAGTACGCCGTGCAGCTCAGCATGATCATCCTGGCCCGCCCAGCTGGCGTACGATGCGACCGTCAGCGCAGATTCGTCCAGCGGGCTCAGGCCAAGCTGGAGAAGGCCGAGGCCGCGGCTGCGCGGGCGCGTGAGGAGCTCGCGGAGCTGGAGGCGAAGGTGGGTCAGCGCGCCGAGGCCCTCGGCCGCGCCAAGACGCTCCTCGAGCAGCTCGAGGCCATGGTCCCCGCGGGCGACGAGCCGATGGAGGAGCCCATCACGCCGACGCCCGTGGCCGGCGCTGAGGGAGATGCAGCCCCAGCCACGCCGCCCGACCGCGCGCCGCCCATCGCGGCCATCGCGGAGCTGCAGGCTGGCCAGGCGGCCCTCACCCAGCAGCTCGTCGGCCTCGCGCAGCTGCTGACGACGATGCAGGGTCAGATGGCGGCGGCGCGCGGTGGAGCGGCGCATGGCGACGCGCCTGCGCCCGAGGTGCGGCCCTTTGCAGGGCCCCCCCAGCGCCTGGGGCCAGTGGCCCCCGCGCCCAGGCCTGAGGCTCCTGCCGCGGCCTACCCCGTGCCGGCCGACGCACCTGTGGCCCGCGGCCCACAGGGGGGGCCCCCGCCTGCGGGCGCCGCCGTGGGGGCGGCATGGGGCGCTGCTGGACCCGCCGCCGCCGACGCCGTCGAGGTGCCAGTCAGCGCCGAGGAGGATGTTGCTGCGGCTGCCACTGCCGAGGCAGCCCGCAAAGCGAGGGCAGCTCAGCGTGCTGAGAGGAAGGCTGCAGAACGTGCACGTCGCCCTGATGGCCAGCAGGGACTGCGAGACGCGATGGCTCGCCAAGCGTCAGCGCGGCCAGGTGCGTGCAGTCACCGCGGCCGCGGCGCCCTGCCACCGTCGCCGCACGGCCGTGCCGCCGTCGCCGCAGAGGCAGGAGAGGATGCCGTTGCAGGTGCAGCCAGCCGCCGCCAGAGGCACAGCCGCAGCCACGGCCCACGGCGCGAAGCGCCAGATGGCTTCATGCTGTGCGGCGGCCGCGCTGGCTCCCCCATTTCGGCACACCCCCTCACACGTTTCGTGGCCCCATAGGGAGCTCCACCGAAGGCCCCAGTGGCTGCGTTCGCATGGCGGCGCCGCACCCATTTCGGCACACCCCTCACACGCTTCGTGGCCCCATAGGGAGCTCCACCGAAGGCCCCAGTGGCTGCGTTCGCATGGCGGCGCCGCACCCATTTCGGCACACCCCTCACACGTTTCGTGGCCCCATAGGGAGCTCCACCGAAGGCCCCAGTGGCTGCGTTGCATGGCGGCGCCGCACCCATTCCGGCTCGTTTCGTGGCCCCACGGGCGCGTTTGGCGGCGCCGCACCCATTTCGGCACACCCCTCACACGTTTCGTGGCCCCATAGGGAGCTCCACCGAAGGCCCCAGTGGCTGCGTTCGCATGGCGGCGCCGCACCCATTCCGGCACACCCCTCACACGTTTCGTGGCCCCATAGGGAGCTCCACCGAAGGCCCCAGTGCTACCGCCCTCATGCGTCCCGTACGCCCAGGACAGCGTTTCGTGGCACGCCTTTCGTGGCCCCATAAGGAGCCCCACAGAAAGCGGCACCCACAAAGCGTTATTCACAATTGCATATGGTTGGGTCCTTCGCCAGGATAATGAACTATTTTTGAGCATTTGGGGAATATTTTTTGGGCATTTCTATTCTTTAGTCCAAAATCGGCCTGTAGGAGGACAGGCCCGACTTAATTCTAGGGCTTGAATCCTCGGGCGGTCTCAGGCGGGGGCCCTTGTCCATGAGTGAAGTGCGAGGAAGCCTGAGGCGGGAACCCCCTCCCTATGGGACCCGCACCTATTATTCCGAATCCCAGGGGGGCATTCTAAACCCGTAGCCGTCGTCATTTTTGGGCCCCTGATGTTTGAGTCTTCAGGAAATCTCAGGCGGGGGCTTTGTTTGTGAGTGATTCGCGGTTTTTTTAAGCGGAAGCCCCGCTTTATGGGGCCCGCGCTTCATTTTTTAATCCCCGGGGGTCATTCGAAACGTGTAGCAGTTGCCAGATTTGGGCCTCAGAGAGGTTTGAATTTTACAGAAAATTCAAGCGGGGACCTTGTTTGTGAGTGAATTGCAAGGAAATCTCAGGCGGGATCCCCCGTTCCCTATGGGGCCCGCACGTGATGTGTTGTCCTTTTTGAGCTCTTAACGAGTGAGTATGGAGGAAGGCTTGAGCAGCAGCCTTGTTCGTGAGTAACTGGTGTGAAGTCTCGAGCGGGAACGCCTCCTTGCTGGGCCCACACCATCATGGTTTTTGATTCCAGCGATGGGACGGGCAAAGCAAGTGAGGATCATTCTCAGACAAACTGAAGAGATGCTCATGCGGGGTCCCACCATCGGAATACTTCATTACGCTTCACGTAGCCCCATCAGACCATCCAGAAACGATACCCAGACGAATTGCCCTGATCGGATGTGGAGGAGAACGCAGTGGAATAAAGGGCTGGGTAAGACGTCGTACCCCGAGAGGGGGATGGAGGAGGAATTGGAGTAGGAGCAGGAGCAGGAGCAGGAAGAGGAGGAGGAGGAGGAGGAGGAGGAGGAGGAGGAGGAGGAGGAGGAGGAGGAGGAGGAGGAGGAGGAGGAGGAGGGAGGGAGGAGGGAGGCGGGAGGAGGAGGAGGGGGAGGAGGGAGGGAGGGGGAGAAGGGCGGGAGGGAGGGAGGGAGGGCGGGAGGGAGGGAGGGAGGGTGAAAGGGAGGGCGGGCGGGAGGGAGGAGGAGGAGGAGGAGGGATGGGAGGAGGAGGGAGGGAGGGAGGAGGGAGGAGGGAGAGGGAGTAGGGAGGAGGAACATTCCCCCCCCCTCCCCTCGCCCCGCAGGAGCGGCGGTGCGCGCCGGGGCTCCCGGCCAGGGCGGCGCCCGCCGGGGCGGCCTGCGCGGTGCGCCCCGCGGCCTTGGCGGGTCCACCGCCCTGAAGGCTGCAGGGGTCGGGTGTGGCCAGAAGTGCCCCTGGCCCAGGGTGCCCCCAGGATTTTCAAGGAGGCCGCCACGGCTTCCAGTCGGGACGATCGATGTGGGTGCGGAAAGAGTGGGCACGAATACCGACAGTAGTTCCTGTCGATTTTGACCAGAATTTGCTGTCGGCGTCACCGCAGTCGTTGTCCATGCGAGATGGAAGGCCGCCTGTCCAACAGCGGCCGCTGTTGGTTTTGGACAATGTTTGCTGTTGGCGTCGTACCCATTTTTCCGTACCCCTTTCGGGCGTCCGAAGAAGTGCCCTGGCCCAAGGTGCCCCCAGGATTTTCAAGGATGCCCCCTATAGGGCCTCCAGGGCACCCCTGACGAGACCCAGGGGGGGGGCTCTGTGGGCTCCGAATTTGAGCGGAAAGTTGGGGGCGCCTGGGGCCAGGGGCACTTATAGCAGACCCCGAAGGGGGGCCCCACCCCGGGGGAACGCAAACCCAGATCTCCAATGAGGTTCAAGTCGAACAGTGGTCAGTGCAGCGATAGGGGGAGATGGGCTCAGGGGGGCGCGCATCGACCCCCCATGGCGCATTCATCGCCAAAAGGGGCCCGATGGCCCCAACCTGCCCAGGAACGTGCGAATTTGTTATCGGGGGCCTGTCGCCGATCTATCGGCGATGTACCGCCGATTTCAGGTCGTTTGCGCCCTAACTGCCAGTCCCCCCTATCGTCGCCCCCCAAGTGGCGAAGCGTCCCGACTTGCTTACATGCCCACAAGGATGTTCTAAGAATTCTTCGTGGTTCGCACGAAACGTGTTAAACATATTTCTGGCTCGGGCAGTCTTGTTTTAACACATCGGGTTTCTGTTCTGAGAACGTTTGAAACTTCCGAAGAATTTTTCGGGGTTGGTCAGTAGGAATGCCAGGACGGTCGGACTCTGCTCAAGCGAGGTTTGCGGACGGTTTCGTGGGTTCTCGGTGGTTTTCCACTCTCGGGATGTCTTCCAGCGGCTGCGCCTCGCCGAGAGCGTTCCGGAGGTGCCCAGATCGTCCCGAACGGCTGCCATAGAGCCGAGTTGTGATCCGAAACCTGCCCACTCCCAGGCTCCCAGGGGGCTGCAGGGGGTCCCCCAGGGAGACACGGTTCGCGCCATGTCGACGCGGCGGCGACCCCGCCGCGGGCGTTCAAGGTTGAGCCATGCACGCGGTGTCGGAAGCCAACGCTGGTGTCGGCCGCCTCTGGCGCGGGGAGGCGCCAGAAAACCGGCTGCGTGTTGCCGAGTCGCCTGCTATCCTCCCCTCTCGTCCAGCCCGGGATTCCGTATGAAGGTAGATGCTTTCTTTCCTCGGGGGCCGCCCCTCACAACGTTCCTCTAACTCCCCTGTGGCCCCACCCCCCCTTGCGCCCGACTTTCAGTCGGGGTGCAGGTAAGGGTGGTTCAGCCCTGGCGTGCGCCAGCAGGTCCCCTCTGATGCTCTGGTTCTCTCTGACTGACTCGGGTTTGAGAGCCACGTGGAGCCGACTCGGGTTGGGCGGCTACCATGTGGCCGGCCCAGGTTCGCGTCATAGGACGACCTGGCCCCGGCTGATCCGGATAGGCGTTGGTCCGAGTCGCCCGTCCCCGATTTTGGATTCCAGGGGCAACTGGACGGGGCTAGGACGAGGATGAATCCGTTCCAGAGCGTTCCGGAACGCACTCAGAGCGTTCCCGAGCGCACTAAGCAGCCGCGGCGCCCGAGACATTTTTCAGAGCCGCTGGATCTCAGAGATTCTCTATTTAGCCTCAACCGATATTGTCCTCGTCCTGGCTTCGTCGTACAGTGGAGACCCATGCCAAGAATCACCCCACTTGCCTCCAGGGTGTTCTGGGTGACTTGGGTTTTGATGGTCTTGCGATGGAAAGCGTGGCGTTCCCACACCAAAAATCCATGGACGTCCTGGGGTCTCAGGGTTGGGTTTCTCGTGGAAGGTCTCTTGTGGACTGGCCTCCACTGTAAGACCACTTTCGGGGCCCGATCCAGGACGGCAGGCCAGTTATGGGGAGAGGGCTCGAGAGGCACAGATGATCGGGGGCGGCCAAGGAGAGGAGTTGAGGATTGTGGGGGGAGTGGACATCATGGCTTGGGCCACGATACCTGCCCAGTCTTCACGGCCCCTCCCCAGGGATCCCACGCTCCAACAAGAAGGTTGGAGCGGCGGGGTTTTGGCAGTTTTCGGCCCCTCGGGGGCCCTCGCCGGGCCTCGGGAGCGTCAGAAAACGACTCAGGACGAAAAACTGGCCCCAGGGAGGTGGTCCCGACCTCTGGGGCCCACGCATCGAAATCGTTAGAGCGGCCGGGTGTCTCGGTCTTTTTACCTCAACAGGTCCTTCTGTGTCACCCCCCACCCCACTGGGCCGCGCACGTGCGTGCCTCGGGCCCTGATCTGCGAACACTTCCCTTGGACGCCCCCTGCTTGGGTGCCCTCGACGGGGGAGTGCGACCCCACAGAATCGACTGACCAGGCCAGGCCCTCCACGGGCCAGATGACCGCCATGGGTGTTCAGAACTGGCCGGCTCTGACGACTGCCGCCCTGCCCCTCTGGGAGTTTCGCTTGGCTTGTCCCTGGGCCCGCTCGTGCACCGCCAGGATACGTCCGTGCCCACTGCCTCGGGGTCCTCTCGAGGAGCCGTGGCTGCGGGCATCTGCTCGCTCCTGAGGGCGAGAAGGCGTCCATGTCCACCGCTCCCCAGGAGGGGGGGGAGGAGGAGGAGGAGGAGGAGGAGGAGGAGGAGGAGGAGGAGGAGGAGGAGGAGGAGGAGGAGGAGGAGGAGGAGGAGGAGGAGGAGGAGGAGGAGGAGGAGGAGGAGGACTCCAGCAGCTGCGGCTGTTGACGTTTCCTGACGGTACCCTCTGTCCCTCAGGGTGGCGCGCCGACCCCGGTGCCGCGGCGACCAGCTAGCTGGGCGCCCCTTGGGGGAGCGGGGCGGCCGGCATGGGCACCGCGTACGACGCCGCGACCGTGGACAGCATCTGCAGGCGGCTTCGGGGCCTGGTGCAGGAGGCGTTCCAGAGGCACCTGTACACGACGGCTGTGTTCTATGCCGACAAGCTGGTGTCCCTGAAGCACGAGCCCGAGGACCTCTACACCCTGGCGGAGTGCTACTACAAGAACGGGGAGCACCGCCGCGTGCTGCACCTGCTGAAGAAGCACGGCGAGGTCACCCGAGGCGACGCCCGCCTGAAGCTCTTGGCGGTGCAGAGCCTGATGGAGGCCAAGGACTGGGACGAGTGCCTCAGATACCTGGAGGACGTTGCGCCGGCCGACAGCCTGGCGAACTCCGACGGGAGGACGGGGTCCGTCTTCGCGTTGCTGCGAGGCAGGGTGTTCGAGGCGCTGGAGAACCTCGAGAGCGCGCTGGTCTGGTACGAGCGGGCGGTGCAGCTCGACCCCTACTGCCACGAGGCGCTGGACAGGCTGGTAGGCAGCCACCTGCTGACGCACGACAGGGAGGTGGCACTGGTCAGCGGCCTGAGCCTGCACGCAGAGGACGAGTGGCTGCGCCACTTGTACGCGGCGAAGCTGCTCGCCGCGAGAAGCGGAGCTGGGCCAGACCTGCCGATCTCTGCCAGCGACGACGCGGCTTCGCTGCAGGAGCATCGAGCCCCCGGCGGCCTCGCGCCGGAGCAGGCAGCCTCGGCCCTCCTCGGCGCCGCGGCCGCGGAGAGAGGGTGCCGTGCAGGGGGTCCGGCTCCGCAGCGGCCTCTGCAGGACGAGTACCCGGTTCCTCGGCTGCCACCCGGGCTGGCGCGCAACGGGGACGTCCTGGCTGCCATCGCGGCGAGGCACTTCTGCGAGGGGCTCTACCAGTCGTGCTACCAAGTGTCCAAGGGCGTCCTGGAGGAGGACCCCTATCATTTGAAGGTGATGCCGGCACACGTGGCTTCGCTGGTCATGCTGGAGCAGAAGAGCTTAGTGTACTACGTGGCGCACAAGCTTGTGAACGCTTACCCGTCCTCTGCGGTAGCCTGGTTCGCAGCGGGGTGCTACAACTACATGGTCAAGAAGTACGAGCCCGCCAGGCGCTTCTACCACAAGGCGCTCTCGCTCGACCACACCTTCGCCCCTGCTTGGGTGGCCTACGGCCATGCCTTCGCAAGCCACGACGAGAGCGATCAAGCTCTCGCTGCATACCGGACGGCGAGCCGCCTCTTCCCTGGCTCGCACCTTCCATGGATCTTCATCGGAATGGAGTACGTTCGCACGAATTCCCTGCAGCTGGCGCAGCAGTGCCTGGAGTGCGCACGCTCGCTCATGCCGTCCGACCCCCTGATCTACAACGAGCTTGGAGTTGTGGCCTTCCAGCGGAAAAACTACAAGCTAGCCTGTGACCTCCTCGCGCGGGCGCTGCAGTTGTCCAGCTTCCCCCAGGAGGCCACCTGTGCCAACCTGGGCCACGCGCTGCTGAAATGCAGGCTGTACGGTCGTGCCCTGGAGGCGTTCCAGCAGGCCAACCGGCTCAACCCGCGGAGCGCTCCTGCGCTCACGGGCATCGGCTTCTCTCTCCAGCTGTTGGAGAGACCGGAAGAGGCCATTGAGTACTACCACCGGGCGTTGGCGCTGCGCCGCGATGACCCGGTTGCGGCAGAGATGCTCGGCTATGCAGCGCAGGAGGCTGCCGAAGCCGTGAGCTGGAACATGGAGCTGTGAGGGCTGTGAGAGCTGTGAGGCTGTCCGCTGTGAGCGGATTGGCAGTGCAGGTGCAGCTCTGCTCGGGGGGGGGCCGATTCCTGGGCACTGTCGTGACGAAAAGGAGTGTCGGCCCTTCAAACAGTGACAGCTTCCCACAGCACATTTTGGGTTTCCAACACGTAGTTCGAGCACGCGCTGCGGCGGGTAGGTGAATTAGGTGAATTATGGTGTATATATGTGAAGTCCCAGACAGTGCTTGCATTGAGGGGTTCTTACTTTGATTTCTGAGCTAATTGCGCAGGTCCGCCGAGGACTTTCCAGGTTGGCGCTCATGGGCGCCCCGTGCCTGGGTGGGTCCGCCGAGCTGTCGCCTCGTTGGTGCCCGTGCCCGCCATGTGGGCGCCCTGTAAGCGCCCCGCGCTCTGAGTGGGTCCACCTTACCAGCCTGGAACATATCCCTATCCCTATGCTGGGCACCTCCTCATCACGATGCCAATCTTAGGGATTCTCTTATTTTTTGAGGGCGAATCCCTAAGATTGTAATCGCCTTTTGGCGTGTCAATCTTAGGGATAGGGATACGTTCGAGGCTGGTAAACCGAGGTTTCGCCGCGTTGGCGCCCGTGTCCACTCGTGGGCGCCCTGCGGGCGCCCTGTGCGCTGGGTGGGTCCGCCGAGGATTCGCCTAGTTGGCGCCCATTCCCGCCTCGTGGGCGCCTCGTGGGAGCCCCGTGCGCTCACACCACGTAGCTCCTCCTCCTCCTCCTCCTCCTCCTCCTCCTCACAACATAGCTTGCACAACATGGCTGGCACTACACAGCTTGCACATCGTGTCTTAGGCATTGCTTGCACCGCCTTCCACACACAGCTCACACCGCATAGCTAACACCACATAGCTCACATCACATAGCTTACGCAGCAGGCCGTACACAACATAACTTACACCACGTAGCTTGCAACAAACAGCTAAGACCACATAGCTCACACCACACAGCTTACACAATGCCGCCTGCACCACATAACTTACACCGCTTAGCTTTCACTGCATCGCTCACACCACATAACTTATCATATAATATAGCGCACACCATGTAGCTCACACCACACAGCTTGCAAAACATTGTTTACACCGCATAGCTTTGTCAACATACATCCCACCACGTAGGTCGCACCGCATAGCTTACATAGCATATTATATTCACCATACATTAGACCACACACACTTCATATCAGTTACCTTGGATTGCGTAGCTAACACGCACAGCTAACTCCGCATAACACCACATAGTTGACTCCGCACAGCTTTCACATTCAGGGTGCACTTACTCACGGTTTGGATTCCGCGTTGACTAACATGTTTAGGATAGTATTCTTATTGTCAAAAACATTTGTTGTGATCACGATGGTCTTAGACATAATCATTCGCTTGCGTATCCATACTTACATGTTATATCTACATGGGGGTAGCGCTTGAGAACCACTTCAACCACACGATACAAGGGTGGCCTTGGGGTGTCTATACATCTCGTTGTATGTCTTTAGTCGGGGGTTGTGGTTGTGCCCGTTTTCGCCAGGCCTGCCACATTGATCAATCATGACTTGTGCGTCATTTCCATGTTGTATGCGCCGAGGTTGTGTGCGAGCGTGCACGCATCTAAGGCTTGTGAAACAATGTGTCCAGGTCATGCTCCTGTGGCAGGCGGTCTGGCGTGTGCCTGGCTGGTGTGCGGCATGGTACACCGATTGTGCCCGAATGACTTTGACGGCGTACCGAAATGGCTCCGCCTCTGTTTAAATGTGTCTGGAATGTCTTGCACACTGCAGTTGTGCCAAGACGGCGTCGATGTCGATGAATTTGCGCTGGTGTTCAGTTGGTGTTGCTGTAACGACTGGTCTGAGCCTGGTTTCGAAGCTCTGTGGAAGCCGTATGTGAAACAAACGAGGTACAATTCCGTTTCCACTGCTAAGGTGTGCAGCTTGTCTGGGTAAGTATTAACATCAAATATCACATTCGAGAAGGTACGCGGACAGATGCGCATGCGACTCTGAGTTGGCGCCGAATTTCGGTCATAAGTGCGTTGCCATTACCATGTATCCGTGTACCTCTCTTTTACTTCTTCTCACTCTCGCTCGTTCCTGTTTCTGTTTCTCCTTCTCCTCTCCGTCGGTTTCTGTCTTCTGCCTGTAGACATGGATGCGGTGCTAACCTCTCTCTCTCTCTCTTTTTTTTTGTTTGTTTTTATGTTTTTCCCCCCCCCTCTCTCGCTCTCTCTTTATCTCTCCCGACCTCTCCTCCTCTGTCTCTCTCTGACTCACTTTCGCTTGTGTATATATATATATATGTACATATGTATGTATGTATCCGTATATGTATACGTATACGTATACATACTTGTTTATGCATTGTATGTATGTATACGCAGGCTCTCCACCTTCTACTTTAGTTGGGCTGCACTGGTGATCCAGACTGCCCAGTGCATACTGTGCATCACCGAAATCGATGGGGTCCACTCGTCTAAGGGCAGGACTGTCCAGCTGACCAGAGCAACCTTCATTGGCCTTCGGCCCATCGTCCATCCCGCCATCGCGCTGGGGTCGTGCACAAAGAGGCCTCATGAATGCTTCTCGAATGTCTCTTGGGGCTTTGTCGTGGCCTTTTGGGCCCCTCGTTGTTTTGGGGGCCTCTGGGGCCCTCTGGGGGGGGCTCTCCGGGTTTATCTCGGGGCGATATTTGGGGCCCCCTTGGGCCGCCTTGCACGCTCTTGATACCGAAAAGGCGAGTATGCGAAACTCGCGGTTGTGTATGTGTGTACGCGCGCGCGCGCGCGTGTGTGTGTGTGTGTGTGTGTGTGTGTGTGTGTTTGTGTGTGTGTGTGTGTGTGTGTGTGTGTGTGTGTGTGTGTGTGTGCGTGCGTGTGCGTGCGTGCGTGCGTGCGTGCGTGCGTGCGTGCGTGCGTATGTATGTATGTATGTATGTATGTATGTATGTGTGTATGTATGTGTGTGTGTGTGCGTGTGTGTGTATGTGTGTGTGTGTGTGTGTGCGTGCGTGCGTGCGTGTGTGTGTGTGTGTGTTTTTGTGTGTGTGTGTGTGTGTGTTTCAAAAACTGTGGTCTCTTGGGCCAACCCCCAGGGCCTCCAAGACGGCACAAGAGGCACACGATGTGATTCCAGGGCGGTCACTGGGACAGTCGTAGGCCATGTTGGCAGTATAGATTCCAAACCACGCTCTCGGGACCTCTGAAAAAGAGTTGCGACGTATCTTGGTGGTTCCCGAGAGTGCCCGGAAGCGCCCAGCAATCCAGGGCCTGGGGCCGTGGAAGTATGCACAGCACTCTCCGCGCAGTGCCTCGCGGCACGGTGGCGGATTCCAGTCAGGATCCCATGTGCTCGAATCGGTCGACTGCGATCTCTCTTTCTCTCTCTCTCTCTCTTTCTCTGTCTTTCTCTTCACCCGTCCCTTGTTCTTCCCAAGTCTCTCTCTCTCTCTCGTTATGTCTTTCTTTGTCTTTCTCTGTCTGTCTGTCTGTGTATCTGTCTGTCTGTCTGTCTGTCTGTCTGTCTGTCTGTCTGTCTGTCTGTCTGTCTGTCTGTCTGTCTCTCTGTGTGTCTGAAGCGTGTGTGGGTATGGCCTGGTCGGATTGGGGCTACTCCGCTTGCCCTTAACCTTTTGCCCATGATAGACGTGACCAGAGAGCCAGGAAAATGAGCGCAGGATTGGGGGCTCGTTTTCCGTCCCCCCCATCCCCAAACTGGGACACCGAGCCCCCCTCCAGGGGGGTGACATAGCCGCCGTCGCCCGGGTGCGCCGGCGACGGCGGCTATGTCACCCCCCTGTGGGGGGGGGCTCGGGGTCACAGTTTCGGTGGTTCTCTGGGTCGCCCGGGCCCCGCCCTGGCCTGCCCCGCGTGGGGGGGCCGCCCCGCGGCGGCGGTCGGGGCTTTTCCGTGGCCGTGTGGCTGGGAGGTGGAAGCCCACGGCTGGCCCCCCCCCCCTCATTTTCTGCCCTCCTCGCCCAAGCCACGCGAGGGGGCGACCGCCGAATGTGCCTGGCCAGCATATTCGGTGGGCAAGTTGGCACCGGGGCAATGTGGCAACCCAGCGTGCTGGGCCCATACCCCCAGGAGTCTCCATCCCTCTCTCTCTCTCTCTCTCTTCAGATCTCTCCATCGGTCTGTGTCTCTTTCTTTTTCCCATCTGCATGCGACGAACTCCGCACTTTGCTCAACATACTTTCACATATTCAAACGATGCTTGAGGTGTCGACCCCACCTTCTGGAAGAGATTCGTGGACCAGAACTTCGAATCGAAGCACCTGGTGCGGGGAACTGCTGTTTCACCTGCTTGCTTCGCCCCACACTCTTCCCATGGTCGATGTTGTGTCATTGGGGCTATTTTTTTTCCAACCCCTAATCTTCCTGACCGTATCATCACTGTACTCTCATCCTCACGTCTCTGTTCTCTTGACTCCTTGATCCCTGTTTCTCGTCTTTCTTCTCCGATCCCACCTTGGATTGCCACGCGACAGCCTTCCTGTTTCTCATCTTCCCTGCAATTTGCTCGACGGCGTGTGGGTGTCCTTCATGTCATTTCCCGAGCTTTGCTTGCACTCAGAGGTTCTCTCTTGTACTCTCCGCAACTGGCTCTCTGTTGCGTGGCGGGGCTTGTCTGCTTGGCCTCCCGTGGCTTCCCTGTTGCTTTCCCATGGCGTCCCGTCCCGCTGGCCCTGTCTTACGGGCCCCAAGGTTGGTGTTTGGCGGCCTCCTTTGGGCTTGGCCTCCTTGGCTTCCAGGTTGCTTCCCTACGGCGTCCCGTCTGGCCGAGGTGCTCAGCCTCCAATGGTCTCCTGTGGCTAGGTCTTCACATATTTGGCCTTCTGCGACATCCTATGGCTTGGCCACCGATTGCTTTCCGACGGCTTCCCTATGGCTTCCCGCCCTAATGGCCCCGAATCCCGGGGTCGGCTGTGGGTGACTGGCCTCATATGGCCTCGTATGGCTGCGCGCATCCGTTTTGTTTGCGGTCCACGCGTTGTGATCGTACTCATTCTCCTCTCTGCCTCCCCGCTTCCCCCTTCTCTTCCTCCTCTTCCTCTGCCTTCTCATCCCTCCCTTCCTCCCTTTTCCTTCTATCCCGCACTCACTTCCTCTATCC